AGAATCAAAGCAAGTCGTCACTGATTCCATCAAACATTCACGATCAAGAATAATACTTGACCCCGAGACGTCGAGAGTTATTACAGTGAAATTAGTATTCGTGGCTGGAACTTTTCATTTGTGTACGATATGAACTTAACAAATTCAGCTGTTACGTTTTCAGGAAAATTGAAATCACCTCAATGCGATTAGATAATAAACTTTATTAATTGTTAAAGTGCAACGTGTACACTTCACTAAGTCAACATTGAATTTGATGAATTCGTTTGCTAATAGCGTCTTAGTGAAATTGAAGGATAATTTAAATAATTATTAAATTAGTATGAAATATCGTTTATTTTCTTTTTTTCAGATGAAACTTTAAGAGTACATATTTCTTCATGATATTGTGTATTCAACCAAAACAATTTCCAATGGATTTCAGCCATTTTCATAATTATTAATTATCAACTCTAATAATTCAAGAATTCTTGCAATGAAATTTTTTTACATCCGTTTCAAATTTAATCGATATAATCATAGCACTTGAGTCTGAAATTTGAAAAAAATCTTGCGTCACGCACATAATATATTGCAACTAAATTTCGTTCCTACATCTTTACTAAAATCATGCTGAAAATTCGAAATGGTCCAAATTCAAACCGAACCAAAATTGTGAAATCTCTCTCGTATTCATCACGAAAGAAAAGCTTCCAAAACGAATCATTTCGTATGATAAGCTATTTTGTATTCACAAAGAAAAATATACGACTAATTTTATATAATAATAATTTCCACAATAATAATGCAACGACAAGAATGGAGGGGATTGCGGGCAATTTTATTTCTTCATTTAGAACACATTATACCTCGGTGTTCCATCGCGAGTGAGCTGATAAGAGGCACGTAGAATTGCAAAATCGTGTCAGCTAATAAAAAGGTCAACGTGTCGAGTTGATTGCACGTGAATAGAAATATACAGCGTGCCTATGCGTCTGTTGAACAGCGGATTGTCGAATTTTCGCGAGAAAATGAACTTTTCGTTTGATAACGATGAACATTCCACGTCTGGAATGTTCCCAAAACGTTTCGTGTTAACAACGTCGATGGAATTTCTACGGATTACGCAGACTTTTTAACGTTACCATTTATGGAAATTACTTGCAATTTCGAATTGTAATTGTCGGTAAAAATTTCGAATACGCACGACATGGAAATTTCAAATGTAAATCATGATTTTTCTATAATCTTTCTGCATTTTGACTGTCTGGGTAATTTGGGAAAACTTTGAGATACTTTTGTCCTCCAGACAAATGAAGTAAAGGGTTAAAATAAAATGAAAAATAAAAGATTCGACAATGCTGATGGAACATACAAGAGATTATGTTTTTAATTTCGTGATAAGTCAGCGTTTCGTTTACGAATGACGACTTACTGACTTTTCACCGATAGTGTACTATTACATCAGAAGAAAATAAACATCCGTTTAATCAAAGAATCATGCATTCTCGGAAAATTTGACAAAAGTATTGATAAGCCTTTTCATATATTTTAATACCCACTGATTATCCAATAATTTACAATTATGCGTTACAGTTCTTAAACACTGTTTTTTTTTTATACGTGGAAACAGTTTCAAACTTTTTTTATTAATTGATGAATTTGGAAATTTTCAAGGCGACTCAATGCGATGCTTCTCTGTCCTTGCATTGTATCCCAATTGTAAGTTTCTTCTCCGTTATTCCAGAGCATATTCGTTTCATTCTACACACGACACTATATACAGTTCTTAAATCGTTGCACACGCGATCTCTACCAGCCAAATAGTACTCGAGTCTCGAATCTCCCGATTTATGGCGCGATTTATCACGAACCGGCGCGACGTCGAAGTGAAACGTCTAAAAAGATGCTACTTCGAATTTCCTTCGACCTCGACCCGTGAAATTCACATGGTGCGAGCGATGATCGATGCAGCGAGATCGCCCGATCCCTGTGACACGTTGTTACATAAAACACACGTAGCCAGCGGTTATATATAAAAACACGCAAGATTACAGAACAGGTGGACACGCTACAAAGGACAAAGAACGTCGGCTCTCGGGAAGCAGGCTCTCGAAATTCTTTCGCTCGTCGAGGAGAAACGCAGACGACGTTCTAGACGAGATTGGCAGAGAAGAAGGAGGAGGGGGAGAGGGAGGAGAGTCTAAAATTAAAGGCTTCCCTTTTGGGAACGATTTCGAGGGCTGGCACGTGACACACTCACCCTTGTCGTCGGCGCGGAACTCCTGCTGAAGTTGTTCTTTGGTTGGCTCTGAGTTTGATTTGGTCCCCGTCTGCTTTGTCGAGGATTCAGTCTCTTTCATACTCTTCCTGGCGTGATGGCCGCGGAAAGCCGCTTGTATCCTGGTCGCGGCCTCTTCCCTCTCTTTGTCCCCGTCCTTTCCCTCTTCCTTTGCCTCCTGCTTGCCGCTCTCGCTCGAGTTCTTCGAACCAGCCTCCTGCGATCTCTTCTGCGAGGCTTCCTGCGACTCTACTTTCGTCGGACTGCTTTCCGCCTTCGGGATGTCTGAAAATTAATCGGTGATCGTTTAGAAAATCGTTGATCGGAAGCCGCGTGGCTTGCTTTGTTGGTATTTTTTCAAGTATCTTTCGATACCTTGCTATCCTAATAATAATAACTATTGAACTAATAATAATTGTGTTTGTAGTATCGTTACGTACTTCACGTGATTCCTTACACGTATATATAATATATCATTAAATTCCTTACACGTATATATAATATATCGTTTCGACGATTGATTTATCATCTCCGAGCATTTCACATTTCTATGATATTTATTTATAAAAATACATGTAAGCACGGTTGGCGTAAATGTTACAAATTTAGGAACTTTTCACGGATATCATAAAGTTAAATAATTAGAAACAATTTATTCTGCCTGAACGACGATTTCATCTCGGCAAATCTCGTGTTTAGATCACCAATCAATTTCATCAAGTTTGTTTCTTGTATTTTTAAAAAAGCATTTAATTTTTATCTTTATCTATTCCGAATTTGCTCAGTCTAAATGAGGACCTGCTAGACCACACTATAAAAACAATTATGAGCTATAAAGACTCAGCAATGTTAATAAAGAAGCATTTAATCATTACATTAGAAGAATACCATTTAAATTTTATTTTTATAAACATCGCGAATGAAACGATTACTATTTTCCTGTTTTATGTATATTTCGAGGAGAGAGATATTTTCAATAGGGGTTTCGCTTTTCAGAGGAACAACCATGTTCTCTCTTTGATCTTTTATATATTATACGTTTCTCGATTTTTGGAGCCACACACGAAAATCCTTTTCATCTGGCTGTGTTTACTCGTTACTCGTGTGTTTTTAACACACGTGTGCACGAACGCTCGTCGTAAGCTAGATTTAATCATAGACTTTGAAATGCAGGTACGCACATGCAATTCTCTTTGAACCCGTGTTTCACATAGTTGTCTTGATTAAACTTCATACCTTCGGGAATTGGTTGATACGCGAATCCTCAGTTCCTCCAGTTTGGCTCCGTGCAAGCTATAAATCTACCAACTTTAATTATCATCGATCGCGGCGGTATACAGAATTCGTTGAATGTCACCTTAAATCATTTTCACTGGTGTAAAATTAGGAAGCGCGGCTCGTCAAATGCCAAGTCATTTTTAAAATGTAATCGAATCACTCGCGTGTAAGAAAGGAACTTTGAACTTTCATTAAAGACCAACGTTGTCGCATTGGCGCAACATTTTGTTTGCAAATCTTTCTCAATCGATTTACAGTATCGAATTTTTTCACGAAGTTAATTCCAAATTATTTAGTTAGTTAATTATTATTTTTTTCGTTATCATTTCCCATACTCGTAAAATGTAGAACTGTATAGAATTTCAAAAAATTGAAGTATAATAATTTTATCTTTCGAGCCAATAGAGATAATGTAAAATTTCAAAAATCGTCGCATGATACGAGAAGTTTTATAATGTAGGGCACGAAAAGAGGTTTCTCATATAGATTCGAGCATGTTGGGATTTCGAAAGAAATGCTAATTTTCTTGAACAAACGTGGATATTAATTGCGATTAATTTTGCTTTGGAAATGGAACTTAAGTATGAAAGCCACGAAAAGATTTATTTCATCTAAAGAAGACAAAATATTTTTGAACGCGGGTATCTATATAAAAAAATTCATAGAGTTTCAAATTTGTAATCTAACGTAAAATATTGAATTTCAAAAAACAGAAAATTATCGCGTTAAATTTCAATTAATTTTCCTTTGTTTCAAAAACTGGTTGAAACCGTTCTCATCGTTCTCACGTATGTACATCACATATTCTTGGTGTACTACACGAATTATGGTTTCCACTTAAGAGCGGATTATAGTGGCGTTTGAATTCAAATTTCAGCTTTAAATTCTTCAAAATTCAAGGTTAATAAATACGACAATTTAGCAGCCGACTTAGTTAAGGACACTCTAATGCAAGGAGTTGAATAAACTCTTATTTCAATACGAAATTGTATAAATCTCACTTATTCGCAAACTATTCGCCCGGCAAGCAAGATTTCCATATAAATGAAATATTAAGCTAATGCAACTAATTTATCAATCTTTCGGTATGAAAGTCCTAAGTTCCATCCCGAATGAGGAGCACGTTGGCCGAAAGTATCACGAGCGTCAAAAAGAGGGAAGAAAAGGGTAAAGGGAAGAGAAGGCAGGGAAAGGGGGAAGAAATGAAAAAGGAGGAGAGGAGAAAAATGTATTCGCGTGGGAGACAGGGTAGCAGAAAAGGCTTGTGAATCATTGCCAGCACACGGTTAGTGACACGTGCACTTTTCCAGTTACGCGCGTCTAATTACAGGGTTGGGAGTGTTTCGTGCAAGGCCTGTTTCAAGGCGGCTTTTCGCTTTTTTTTTTTTTTTTTTTTTCTTTTTCGTCGGTCCGTGCGCGTACGCCTGAAGGAATCCTTTTCCACCGCGGGATGAGAGACATCCAATAACCAGTCGGAGAGAGGAACGAGGAGAGCCCGCCGACCGCGAATGAAAAATTTAGAAGCAGGAAATCGAAGAAAGGATGCGACTTTTTCCCACAGCCTGAAGCATCGAAGACACTTCGCAGGAAAGGGTACAGAAATCAGGAGACAGAGAGAAACATTTCGTACGAGGGACATTTCTATTATTTGTTTCTTTAATATTTAGAACTTGAATGTCATTAAATTGTTGTTATCTGTCATGTTAAGATAGTTTTATTAATCCTCATCCGCTTCTTCCGTGTTAGTTTGACACACCTTTCATACAAAGTGTATAAAACAAATAGAATATATAATTTTCATATATAATGTGTGAAACGCAGTTGAATAGGAATTTGTCTTATTTGCTGTGTTAATAAAAGAATTTGCAAATTTATCCGATTATCTTTTCGCCGTAAGTATTAATTTGTTACCAAGGGACCAATTAAGTTGGAAAAATGGGGGATAGGATTAACACAGTCCGAGTTGTGTGATATTTCGTTCACCAGTGTATTAATGAGTGAAATAAATTTCAATTATAGCCCTGCGAGACCGTTGCGTAAAATAGTGATATACAGAAAACGATATTATTTCTTGACACTTTTATTCATTTAATATTTACGTAATATTTAACGAATATTCATGACATTGAAACAGTATAAAGTAACAAAGAACGATTCCTTGATTGACTCATTTCAGGAGAGAATTGACCAAGTACTTTTATTATTTCAATATTTTAATTCTAATTTTTATTAGCTCTTGTCATTTCTAACATTTAAACTGTATATCACTTTACATATGTAAATACTATGTTCAGTAATATATTCGACTAATGTTCGATTTGAATATATTTTCGAAAGGCTAGGAAACAATTTCTTACGAAATTTCCTTTAACTTCATCAATTTTGAAGATACAACAATGAAAGTGTAGAGAAAAGAGTACAGAATCTAATCGAGGATTTTTCGATCTTCTTGCATCTAACAATTTTACAACAGATCACGTGTTCATTATTGATAATTGATAATGTGCGAGAGAATTCGTCAGAAACGATTGGAAATCGATTTAACATATTTCTGTATGAAGGAACGTACAAAACCAAGTTTGATCAAAAGTATCGATAATTCTCGACACGGAAAACACGACGGGGATTATGAGATTATATCCAATCACTTACGTACGTAATTAAACGGTGTGTGTTCGAAGACAAACGGATTGAAATTATTCCAACTGTCTAGCGGTGAGCGAAGATTAACGAGAATTAAACGTCCTGGACAGGTCGTGCGAAAATCTGCGTCACGCAGTACCGACGGGGAACGATTTTCTCGTTGCCCTCTTTTTTTACGAGCCTCTAAAAACAACACGACGCGTAGATTTACAACAGTGAAGCAAAGGTAGCCCATCGAATGTAAAAACGTCGGGACAAAAATCAAAGAAGGAAAGTTACGGACGATAAAATTTCAATCTCTTCGGAGATTGAAAATCGGAAAATTCTTCGGGTTCATACAGCGGCTCGCGAAAGTATCCGAACGATTTCTGTGAAATGATTTGAAATTTCGTTGACACGTCATGAGAAGATTATTATGATTATGTTGGTAAAATTTGAAACCAATTTAGAAGAGTATGAAGAGATGCTTTAAGTATTGTATTAAGTGTTAAATACGATTGTATTGAATATTTTGTAATTTCCATATATTGAATATTTTTAAATATAGCTTCAAATCAATATATATCGAATCATATAGTCATGATAATAAAATGTCAAAATGTTCTATACAATACGCGAATACTTTCATCTATGTATGTAAAATAATAACTATGATTGATTCTCAGAATAATGTGATCATTTGAGTAGAAAAGGAGAATAATTGCACAGTTACAGAACAGATACGTGCCTGTGAAAATAAATTTATTAAATTAAATATATTTTCCCTTTTAATTGTCTAATTGTTGCATACACTACAAAGAACGAAAAATCTAGTAAAGAAGAATTTTGCTATTAAGCCAAATCTGACCCATTCGTCGCGGCGTATGCGAGTTCAAATCTTCCTGCATAACCCACTCTCTGAGGGTTAACTCTTTGCGGTCGGCACATTTTTTCTTTTTTTTTATCTCTGGTGATATTGACAAGCGTAATAAATACTGGATGTCTGTAGATTTATAAAGAATTTAAAAGTATAAAAAAGGGTATATTAGACATATCTAGTTATATTTCATAAAATATACAAAATATTTTTTCTAAATGAATCTGAGCTGAAATGAACTTCTGCTCAGATTCTATTTCTTTAATTGTGTTCGTAAAAACTGAGTTTACATAAGAATCTGCAGTTTATTTATTAACGAAAATAATTGTATTTAGAGTATTCTCAAATGTTCTCAGTGACTCGATCTCAATCGAAGGACAGATTTTAAACACGACTGCAAAGAACTGTTATTTCGAGGAGTCGAGCAAGAAAATTAGCAAATTTACATCGTATCGAAATAAATCATATTTATTACTCGAATATCGATTGACCGATTGCTCCTCCGTTCCACCTGGCAAATTATTTAATCTACCTATTAAACGTTAACGCCGCGTTCACGCGATATCCAATTTGCATAATCTACACCGTGAATTTTCATGCAACTATCCGCTACGACTGATCGCTAACGATCCAACTAATTCTCGTTCATTTTTCTCGGCTCAGGAGTTGAACTTACTCGGCCCGTTCGGCTCTATTTAATTAAATTTATTCGATTAGTTCCCGAGAATGGCGATTAATTAAAACAGAAGGTCGCGATCGAGGCAAGATCCGATAAGATACCAGCGGCAAGGTGGACGTGAAGCAACTTCTGGATTAAGAGCTTTTAGATTAACCAGGATAGTTAATTGCCTTCCACTTTCGTCTCACCTTCGCCGTCGGGCGAATTCATGGTTTTTACGAGGTCAACACGCGATAATCAAAATCGTCGTTCTCGCTTTAAGGTTTACCTTCGTCCCTCGCCAATTAACAGCGGATGCAAGCCGGCGATCATTAAAGGGCGAAATGTGAGATTTAAAATGCCACACACACACACACACGCGCGCGCACGCGCGCATACACACACGTGTAACGAAGGAAATTGTTCAAGCAACTGTAAGAAACAACTGGTTTAATTAAGCTTAGTTTTTCTGTTTCTGCTCGCCAACGTGATCAGGCGAGTACTTTAGTTTAATTAAACTTGATTTGTATACAGTAGTACGAAGAGGATTATTCTTATATAAAATAACAAACA